AAGTAGGAGTAGCTTAATAATATTTGTTTGCAATGGCGGGCGAGTGTGATATATCAAGTGACCAATCTTAAGTGACATATTTCAACAAGTTGAAAAAATGAAAAGGGTGGAAACGCGTTAAAATGTTTATTGTGTTTGTACCAAAAACAAAAATAATTAAAGCATCTGTCACAAGTGCTCCGAGGCAAGTGGAGAAAAAGTATGATAGCCTCGTTTTTAACTTGAAGTGGAATAGGCCTATATATTTTTTTAATGAATATAATTTTTATTTTTTAGTACAGTTATAGTGTATTACTCAATGTGTTTCCCATGCTCTTTTAAACATTATCTCGCCACAAATTGGTCACTTTTAAATTTAGTAGTAAACTATACTTTTATCACACTAGAAAAACTACTTCATCAGACTTTAAAAAATTATCTGTTATTTCGTAATCCATTAATTGCTGTCCATTAATTGTTGTACATAAATTTTAGTGTAAAATGCAGCTAATTGAACATCAACAAACTGTGTTTTTACCTAACCGGGAACTTCAGTTGTAACTTATGTTTGTGTATCGAAAGTAATGTTTATGTCAGGAAAGGTGAGATGATCACTATTTGTTTTTGTCTTTTGAACTACCGGTATTGAAAACAGAGTGATGATAAGTTTTTTATCAACTTTGTCGGGGAAATAAATATGTGCACTCGAGTTTGAGCCTAAATATATCTGAGATGGATTATCCAATTTTGTTGAAAAAAAATTAAATATTAGCTGGTTTAAATACATTTTACGTGGTGTCAATTAAAACAAAATCCGTTTACCAGAAAAGTTTATATAGTTGAAAGATCCTAAAAAGTACCGGATTTTAAGAAGAAACTCTGCACTAACACTGAAGTTTAAAATTTATTTGTAAACAAACCACTAAACCAATCTTTCTGAAATTTTTATGGCTTATTGGTAGGTTCATTGCTAACATTTCCATGCATTTTAAAAATTTTATTCACAATAGTTTTTATGCTGCTGTTAATTTTTAAAACGTATGCTAACATCGTTAATAAGGCACTGAAAATTTTGTTCAAAATACCATCGTGTTTTCCGTGACACAAGAAATAACACCAATATGACAGATTTTATAATGCGAACAAAGGAGGTTTTTAAACAGATTTATATTTGTAGACAAAAATTTCTCCCGGGACTGGCAGCGGGCCGCCTGGTGTTTGTACGATATTTCCCAGCCGGGCGGGAGCACGTGCGAATCTGCGACGTTGCCGATGTGTACCTGACTACCACACTGAAAGAATACTCTCAAAGTATAGTGTAGTGATAAAGTTCCCCGAGCAAAGCTCGGTTCCCAGGTACTTTACATAAATTTACTAACAAAATATTCACAAGTCATGAAACAAATACATTATAATAAGATAACTATAAATATAAATCAACAAATTAAAAAACACCTTTGTTCACTGCGAACGCCTGTTCAGAGCGGCAAGCCTAGTCATCACTAACAGAGTAACAGACTAGGAAGAATCAGCGACACCAATTTTGAAAAACAACTTCTTTTAAAGTTTAATAGGCATTTAAAGTAAATTTTGTTGTAGTAATGAATGTTTTTACATTACATGTAATGTAAATGTGACGATGTTTAATTAATATTTAGTTAAAACACAATAATTAGTAACCAAGATGTGTCATTATTTCATTACATATGAAATCCTTTAAAACAACCGTCCAACAAGCAGTTATCTTCTACAAATGTCGAAAACTAACTTTATTTTCTATCAGTTAGTTTTTAAACTAACTAATAACTTCTTGTAGTTACTTTTTAAACTAACTAACTAGTAACTTCTATCAGTTACTTTTTATGGGACTAACTTCTAACTTCTAACTAGTTAAAAATTTTGACTAACTTTCCCAACTATGGACTCTTCAGACTCTTCAGAGTATTTTCAAGGTCAGCTCTAATCGATTCACCGACAAATTTAATCATTGTATATGGACATTTGATACAAGAATTGACGTGTCTTTTAATATGCCCAACAACATTCGTTTTACAGGAATTACAACTCTTGTGTCTTTGTTATATATGAGATTTTAGAGCCATGTTATTATCACAGATTATATCACAAACTTTGCACAGTTTCACCTTCATTTGATGTATTACCTTGTAGTGGCGAATCAGGTTGCTTTTGTTGGAGAGCGACACGGAGCAGTGTTGACATGACGGCTTCATGTTTAGGAATGAGGTCTCAGGCTGATGCCACTTCTATATATAGACTTTTGGAAAATTTCAAAATTTTTAACCAGAATTTAAGAAATGTTTACATAAATTTCAAAATTTTTGACTAGAAATAAAAAAAATATATAACTAAAAATTATTTCAACGGGAGCTTTCCCACCTAGGACAAATTTCAAAATTTTTAACTAGAAATTAAAAAAAATATATAACTAAAAATTATTTCAACGGGAGCTTTCCCACCTAGGACTAGACCACTAGAGACGAGAAGCCCGACCATGAGTCGGGAGCAAGAAGCAGGAGCTTGCTCGTGACCGTGGCATGGAGCGCGCCCACGACCAGGAACGCGCCCGAGTTCATGTGCAAACCTCGCTCGATTTTAAAGATATACTTGTGAATGGATATGGATTTGAAATGGTAATGGAGTTGTACAATGGTATTGAACATTTATATAGGAGTGTATAAGCAAAGATCAGGATTTTTGAAAAAGTGGCTAAAAAATGATCCCCATGTTATTCTTATGGGGAAAAACGCCTAAAGTGACTTCATATTGCTATATTGCCACTACTTTACATTTACACTTGTATGGGTCAATAAATGAAAGAAATAGCTTTTTTAGCTTGATATCGAATATATATTTTCTAAAAAAGCTTATGCTGCTCCACTAAAGAATAAGACAGGGTTGGTGGTTACAGAAGCCATTAAAACCATTCTACCAAAGGGGGTTAAAAACATTCAATCTGACAATGGAACAGAATTTTTTAATCAATATTTTAGCAATCTAATGAAAGAATTAAATATTAATCTATATCACACTTTTTCTACAACTAAGGCTGCAATTGTGGAGAGGTTCCAGAGAACTTTAAAGAATTGGTTATATAGGGAATTTAGTGCTCAGGGGAGTTATAAATGGTTGGATTTACTTCCAAAGTTAATTAGAAAATATAATAATAAAGTACATAGATCTATAGGAATGACGCCTAACCAAGTGAGTGTTAAGAATAGTAAATATGTGCATGAGAGGTTGACTTCTAAAGTGCAAGTTAAAAAGCCAAGATAAATGTGGGCGATAGCGTGAGGATTTCCAAGTATAAACATGTGTTTAATAAAGGATATACCCCAAATTAGACAGGGGAGTTATTTACAATAGCAGAAGTTAAGAATACAAAGCCTGTGACTTATATTTTGAAAGATGAACATGGTAATATAATCAGGGGAGGATTCTATACAGAGGAGTTGTTAAAGACCAAGTATAAAGACATGTATTTGGTAGAGAAGGTAATTCGGAGGAAGGGTGATTTGTTGTATGTCAAATGGCTTGGGTTCCCAAGTAGCCAGAACTCATGGATTTCCACAAAGGATGCCCACAGCCGGGGTGCGCACCTGAGTTCATGTGCAAACCTCGCTCGATTTTGAAGATATGCGTGTGAATAGATATGGATTTGAAATGTTAATGGAGTTGTACAATGGTATTGAACATTTATATAGGGGTGTATAAGCAAAGATCAGGATTTTTGAAAAAGTGGCTACATTTACACTTGTATGGGTCAATAAATGAAAGAAATAGCGTTTTTAGCTTGATATCGAATATATATAGGGAATAAGTAAGAAATAAGGTTTGACAATTATATAGGGATATTTATGCAAAGATCAGGATTTTTGGAATTGGTGACAAAAAAATGATCCCCATGTTATTCTTATGGGACTTACGCCTAAAGTGGGGTATCTTTGTCCTATTGCCACTACTCTTGCTCAATTGTTTCTTTTATGTCTGATGATTCTTGGCCAATTTTTGTGGGAAAGAGGATGGTTGTGTCGTCGGCGAAGATAATGCTGGTCTTGTCCATTGGTAGAAGGTTTGGTAGGTTGTTTATGTAAATTATGAAGAACAAAGGTCCCAGTACCGACCCTTGGGGAATGCCTCGAGTTGTACGTTGTAGTGTTGATTTGGCTTTTAATTCTTTGTTAGGTATTGTTGTAGTAGTTTATTTCTACCTCCCGGAAACAGTTTGTGAAGTAGTTTTTTATCCAGTTTAGGGCATTTCCCTTTATATTCATTTCTAAGCTTGTTGATGAGGATGGTTTGATTTAGGCTATATCAAAAGCTTTTTGGATATCAAGAAAAATTCCAGATACGCTTTGTTTTTTCTCCCAGTAAGAGGCGATGGTTTCGCAGAGTTGGTTTAGGGCTGTATTTATGGACTCATTTTTGCGGAAGCCTTGTTGATTGGGCGGAAGAAAATCAATATTAATTAAGTGTTCCATGACTTGTTCGTAGATTACTTTTTCGATGTATTTTGATAGGGTGGGGAGGATAGATATCGGTCTGTAATTTGATATTTTATTTGTAGTTTCATTTTTTTATGTTTTGGGTATACTGTTGCTATTTTCATTTTTTCAAATCCGAGCACGGTTATTTCGACCACCGAGCAGCAAACACAGGTCTTTCGAAGCTGCAAACTTAGTTTTACATTACTCTCATGTATCCTAACAATATACCAAAAAGTCATAACAACGTCACTTTTTTAAAACAAGGATGTCTTAGATGACTGGTCTAAAGCCGGGTTTTCCCAGGCGCGGAAGTGGAGAGCGGAGAGAGGAATGCGGAGAGCGGACTCCACTTGTCTTGGTTAATTTAATGTTTTACTGTTTTCCTAGAAGCGGAGCGGAACACCATATTAATCTCTTTTCCGCTCCCCGTGTTCCTCTCTCCGCTCTCCGCTTCCACGCCTAGGAAAACCCAGCTTAAGGGTGTAGAAAGAAAGGAAATAACTGATCTAATAGATGTGCATATACATATTTATTTTATTCTATTTTAAGCTTAGATAAGTTTCAATCCAACTGCAAAAACCAGCATCAGGGGAGTCCATGTTATCAGGTTCATGTTTTAAATTTCCCAGTTGAACTAACAAAACTTCATAGGTTACTAGTGCACTAATAATCTGAAACAAAATTGTTTGTTCATAAATTTAGTTGTTATTAAGATGATAAAGTAGTTTTGGAAAAGTTTCACATTTTAGTGAAGCGAATGACAGTAGCTAGCTATTATGGTTCTATAAATCAAGATGGATAATTTGTATCATCTATTGTTATAAGTACATCTCGCATAACAATCTCAAATGATTTACATTCACAAACAACTGTTGTGAATACATTACTGGTTAACTCTAACAGGTACATGACTGTAGACTCCCAACTTAAATTACAGCTAATTGGTTCAAGGCAATCAATTAATTTGTCATTTTTCTTTGTTTACCCAATTAATTGGCAATTATATTATGGTGTATGGATAGAAGAACAATGTTGATTAAAAATAAGGATATTGCAAAGAAAATCTAACAGTAAAATGAAAATTTAAAAAAAAATATTTCTTACTGATAAAGCTGCTGTTTGTGTAACAACAAAAAACTTGCATCCTGTGAGTGCCACTGTGTCCCTTTTGACCTGGGTATATAGCCGTCTAACCTGGAAAGAAAGTTTCATAACATCACGTTTGATAAAAACTTCTTAAAACTCTAAGATATATTAAGAAGGAGTCATAGAGTTTAAAATATTTAATTAATAAAATAATCAAAATAAAACAATATTTATATAGCCTAAATAAAATTTTTTCTCAGACGTTCAGTTTGATAGAAGTTAAAATCTGAGCCTATTAAAGTATTATTTTAAAGTATTTTTAAAACTGCCAGGGCCATTTTTAAACATCACATTATTACAAATATGAAATATAGATATAGACATTGAATAGACGATAATGATTAATCCAATTGATGGTTATAAAAGTAAATTATGCTACTTGAATTATCTTAAAACTAAATTTTGTTTTGGATCATAATTGCCAGATTACTTTCCAATAATCTATTTACCAAGTTAGGGCCTGTTAGGCTGTTGCTGTTACTTTATTTAACTAACTTTACTTTAGTTCGTTATGACTTACTTTGTTGCTTTGTTGACTTACTACTCGAAAGTGAACAGACAGATTTTACTTCTTGTAATATAAAATGTATTAAAAATCGTTAGAAAAATTTACAGAAGTTTCAGCCGCACAGAAAAGGGTGGCATGTCAAATAATAATTCATCACACTGTTAACATGTATTTTCTCAAATAATAAATGTATTTACTAACCTCTTGGCAGAATAATGTTGAAGGCAAATTGTGAAGCACAGTGAGAGGTTTCTTGCTCTCATCAAAGATGGTGGCCATCGCTACAAGAGTGATTACATCTATTCCAAGGTGGCTCAGGAAGAAAATTAGAAAATAGCCATAGCTAAGTAGAGTGTAGGAATGTCTAGAAAAAAGTACAGTAGTGTCTTTATAGCTCTTTCTGTTTTTAACTATCTTCCTTATTGAAAATTAAAAGACACCATTTTAACTACCCTAGTAGCACAAATATATATTAAATACATATGAATAAATATATTTAAAATCTATTTTATATATCTCAAGTGTGTATAAATGTCAATTTTATATAATATTTAAAATATATTATATATATAATATATATGTTTTTGAATCTATTAAATATTTAAATATGTTTCAATAATATATTTTAGTGAATAATATTTAAATAAAAAATGTATTTAATATCTCTTTCAAACATCCCATGAGGCCTAATTATAAAAACATAAAATAATGAAGATTTAGTATGAAAAACACAATTATCAGTTGAGTAAATTGATTAAACAGTTCATAAAAACAAATTTTGAAAAAATTACTGGATAAAATTTTTCAGCCCGGGTGGGTCTCGAACCTGGGTCCTTCGACTTATGAGCCTCTCACCTTACCTCTGAGCTAATTGTGACTGTTGCTAGCATTAGTTTTCAAATGGTGAAAGAGCGGCCGTCAGTTGCAATGGTTGCAATACTTGAAAATTTTTTGATACTACAGTATTATATGAATCTATTAATATGTTTTTCCGTAATTCGTTTCTTAAACGGTCGCCAGTCGCTAGCACCCTTTTCTAGCCGATCATTAGAGATTTCTATGATCACATTCATTGTCACATATTGCAATTTAAAAAATAAAACCCATCAACACTTTTTTTTCGTTTGACCCAAGTGTAGCTGCCGAACCTGTATACTGCCTCTTAACCATATGCGTAATTTTTTCTTTACGTGCATGATAGAGTGACACCATTCAGAGTACGTATTATTATTAACTTAATTTTAACACTTTCACAATAGCAATAATCATACAAAAAATGCATGTATGAATTGATAGACACTATAAAAAACAAAAAGATGCAAATTATTTATTTGCTAATTATAAAAGATTATAGGCTATAGCCTATATTCTACAAATATATGATTATTTTATTAATAAAAATAAATGACGTGTTTCAAAATATATTTATAAATACTTTAAATATATAATATAGTTTCAAAAATATTTTATATATATATTTAAAATATTCTCAACACATAATTTTTTTAAATATTTAATAGGAAAAATATAAATTAAAATATGTATATTATTGATTCTATACTTATTTGATCAATATATATTATAAATCTATTTTATATATTCAAAACTTATATTTAATTTATATTTTGCATTGCTTTTTGGTAATATTTTAAATATATATTTGAACATATCAAACTGTTATTAAAGATATATTATTTGTATATTTTATTCGAGGTTCTATCAAATACAACTTTAAATATATAAAATATTTATAAAATACATATTTGTGCTACTAGGGTAATACTTCTTAAAATTATAAAGGATTTAGGTATAGGAAGAAATAGGATTATGGTATACTTTTTATGATCAACATTAAAAATAAAACCAAACACCATTACAAATACCCCCGCCACAGCAAACCTGCAGACTAAGCGAATTTCCATTAACCTGATTGGATTTACACTAAAATGCCTCCATAAAAATAGCACATTTATTTCCTATTTAAATAGAATTAGTTTAATGAGTACTTAGGTTTGCTGCAACAGGGAGGGTAAAAAAGATTTTTTTTATAAATGATAATAGTTTAGTAAGAAATAAAAGTATTTTCCAAAATCGATCATAATATGTTCATAAATAAGCAAACTACAACAGTTGACTTATTCTCCATAAAAATAACATGGGAATTTTAAAATTACAATTTTTTGAATTTTCTCCGTTACAATTAGGCGCATAATAACGCTTCAATATACTAAATTATTTGTTTTTTAAGCTCTACAAAATGGTTTAAAAAGAAATTGTGAAATTTTGTGTTTTTAGGGTCAAAAATGGGAAAGACCTATTTTTTACCCATAAAACCCCCCATAAACCCACGTTCCCATAGTCCAACCATGCTGGTTCGCGAACTCATTCAAGTTTATCCCGCCTTACACCTTCAAACCAAATTTTATCAAAATCGGACAAAAATTACTCAAGTTATCGTGCGGATGGACACATATATATATATATATATATATATATATATATATATATATATAGACATATAAAAATTTGAACGAATGGTGTTTTTGGCCTCTGGGAACATCAAAATGAAAAAGGAAATCGGTCCCAGGCTTAGGTCTTACCATGAGACCGACGGTAACAGCTACTTCCCTATAGGGAAATTCGCTAAAATGTTTAATTTTTTGACCCTTAGAGCCAAATTTTAGTTAACCTTATATAAAAAGTAACTATAAGCTAATGTTTTACTAACATCTCAGCCATTTTAAATTGGGACAATATTTTGTGTAGAAATAACTATTATTGGTGGGATTAAAATAAAAATATTAAATTATCAACCATTAAGATTTGGACGCTACCTATAGTTACGTATTTTAACCCAAATGAGTGAAGGATGAGTATGTCTAGGAGGATTAAACATTATGTGTTGGATTAAACATAATGTTTAATCCTCCTAAAGAATGGTGTGAGATGTAATGATGTGTAGCTTGTTACAAATGGATACAAAACTTATGTTTTAAAAAAGGGTGAGTATTCATTGTTGTTACTGACTAAGATCAGCTGTTTCATTAGAGGAAGGGAAGTAAAAAATAGTGATTAACAATCAACCCTTTGCGGTCTGTTATGGAGTATCCCTAATGTCCTTTCAGGTATCTTAGATACATCTTACATATCTTAGATACACAAAAACATTCCACAGTCAAGTATTGGGGGTTACGCCCCGCTTATGTCCCTCAGATCAGATACGCATCTTGTATCTTAGGCCACTCATTGTGCCCACAAGCGATAAGCTCAAATGGTCTCTAGGCCACTCATAGTACCCAAGTTATAAATTTGTCTGTAAAAAACTATCATTCTATACTGAAGTTCTCTGGAAGGTGCTGCAATCTGTTCAATGTTTATTTAACTAGAAAATGTCATTCAAGCTAGTATCCAGCCGTCTGTTTTGGGAACTACACTTCAACAAGTAGCGGTTCTCTAATGGGCCCAACTTATACTATCTTTTATATTTTCATGGATGTGCAGTTAGGATATTATGTGTTTAGTTGTTTTTTCAAGTAAGCGGTTCATTAATTATTGAAATATGAATTCTGACTATAAAATGGATTTACTGGATGACGTTTTGGGATTTCATATCATAACTTTTTTATTTGTGTTTTAAACTTTTTTAGTTAGAAACATACAGGGTGTTCAAAAGACATAATTCAAGTTATGATTCCTTTTGGGTCTAAATAAAAGAGAAAATCAAGGATAAAAATGTTTCCAAAATCGTGTCGTTAACCAGATATCTGCCATTTTGTATTTTTTACTTAAACATTTTAATGTTAGATTAAAAATTATCTTGGTCCAATTCAACATTTGAAAATGGCGGCCATTTTAAATTTCAAAACTTAAATCACAAAAAATTACTGATTTTATGAACAAATGTGAAGTACACTATTATTTAGCATTTTAAATTCCCTATCAAACAACACCAAGTTCAAAAAGATCAAATAATATATAGGACTGAAATATCACAATTTTTACTTGTAAAACAAGGCAAACCTGACTAGCTTGGCCCCATTCAACTTCATTTTGTATTTTTTACATAACCATTTTAATCTTAACAAATAGGTCACTTCTACCTTAACATCCATACCAATTTTCAAAAAGATCGGTTGGACCAATCCAAAGATAAATTTTTTTATGTAAAAAATACAAACTGGCGGATATCTGGTTACCGACATGATTTTGGAAAACTTTTTATTCTTGATTTTCTCTTTATTTTGACCCAAGGAATCACTACATGAACTAAGTCCCTGCCCTTTTTTGAACATCCTGTATATCTTATTGTACGCAATACCGAAATGTTTATTCCATCCTCTTGAACAAAATTTTAAATTACAGGTTTTATATGTTTACCTCACTTTGTCAAACAGATTTCCAGAAATAGCTATTAAGCGGCCTACACACTACACGTGCATTGCACGCCGTGCAAGCACGTCGTGCCAAAAACTGACGAAACGTGCAAGTGTGTGGTGAACACCGTGCAAGCACGGCGTGCATTGGCATGGCACGGTGGAAATCAACACGAGTTTGATTTTTGGCGTGCCGTGCCAAAGCACGCCATTCTGACGTGCTAGTGTGTAGGCGGACCCGTGCCACGTGCTGGTAGTTCAACCACTTTTGACAGGGTTTGACCCTATAAAATATATCACTTTCTTATTAGTGAATCAACGGCAATTTGTCTTGGCCATTTGCAACACAGATTAAATACGCACATAGTGGCGTCCCCATCTTAAATTATTGATAATTGGCACGACCATCGAGATTATAACACAATGGATCGCGCGCTGTATGTGACGCGTGACCCGAGACGCAGTCATAGATCTCTTATTATTATAACATATTATATTATATTATATTATATTATATTATATTATATTATATTATATTATATTATATTATATTATATTATATTATATTATATTATATTATAATTATTATATTATCAGATATAATATATCATAGAGCATACATCCTCCACCACAGTATTGTGAACCAAGTGTCCTGCCGGCGTATATCTGTACGGCAGCGAGGTGCAAGGTCTGGACTAACCTAGGCACTAGGCGGCTTAGTGCTGCTGCCTTGTGTCTATTTTTAATGATTAATCAATTAATCATGTCCTATGTCCTTAAAACATGTGTGTGTTCTGCATTTCATTTGTACGAACAGACGATGTAATTTAGCACGTTGCAGGCTACACTGAAGATAAGTGTGTGGGCAAAATGTGCCGTGCCAAAGCACAACGTGCCAATATAAAAAATGGCACGGCGTGCAATGCACGTGTAGTGTGTAGGCCGCTTTAGCTTTACCTACTGAGGACAGCTATTCAATATGGCATCACACCTGACGCCAAAACAACTCAGGGGGCACTATAAGTGACCTTGACGTAGTGAATCTGTGAGTACAATCAGGGCAAAAATTTGATGTCATAACTAACTACAGCCAAGACATATCTAACGGGAAATGGACAGTGGGCACTGGCACTTTAAGAGGCCTACAGACCACAAAGGATTCAAATTATTGGTGCTATTTTGACTGATGATGTATCTTTTGTCTCTCCTTATAGCAGAGACCATGTCAAGGTACATGAGTTAACAATGTGAACTCAAAATCACAGTCTACATCTGGCTTCTTAACAGTTTATGACCAATTTACTGTAGGTTAGACCAGCTTGTTCACTTAATTAGTAAGTTTTACTTTTTAAAACATTTTTATTAGCTCGCTTTATTATGTCCGGTACAAATTTTGCAATCAATTTTATACTAACTTCCCGATGAGCTAGAGACTTTTGAAACTTGAAACATAGCTCACAAATGGAAGACAATGCAATATTATATAATTTAATTTTCATATTTCCCTTGGGCTACGCCCCATGGGCTTGCTTTTATTAGCTCGCTTTCCTACAAATTTTGATATCAATTTCAAACGAAGTTCCTGATGAGCTAGAAACTTGAAATTTGAAACATAGCTTACAAATGGATGACAATGCAATATTAAATCATTTAATTTTCATATTTATTTTGGGCTGCACCCCATGGGCTTCCAAATTTTCCATGTTTACATTTTGAAAGAATATAAATATATCAATTAGTTCAAGTCAGCTGTAAATACTTAAATTTGACAGTTCGAAGAGCAGAGGTAATAGTACAGGTAAAATAGGGTTTTATAAACAACAAAATTTGTACATTCATGAAATTTCACCTCTGAGTTACTAATAATATGAGAAATGAAGATCCGATGAGTCCCCAAAATTTTGGGCGTCCCAAGGCCCTTTTTGGGGCCCTTTTTGCTCCGAAGGGCCCTTGTTCCTGAATAAATTTGTTTTTACGATTAAGGTCGAGTGAGGTGTGGTTTTCGATGATTTTAGTTTTTCTTATCGATTGGGACTAGTTTTAAGTGTATAAAACCACTCCATACAGGGTGTTTCGAAATATTATTACTTTTTACGATATTTAAACATTTATTCATAAAGTAATAAAATTAGTTACCTCCATGCTCTATATAAAAGGGGATTATTAAAAATAATTGTAATTCTTTACTACGTAAGGGTAAAGGATCACAAGGAGTAAGAGTAAATATTGAATACCTCCATTACAGCAAACCTGCAGACCTAGCGAATTTCCGTTTTACTTACTTAATTTTCAATAAATTCTAAAATAGTATTGCGTTTAACGATTACCTAGGTTTGCTGCTACAAGGAGGCTAATAAAGTGTGTTTATAGTCAAACATTAATAGCCTAGTATAAAACAAATAAATTTGACAAGTTTGATATATATATCTATTAACAAGCAACAAAAAAATCATTTAACACTATTCTACATAAGAATAACATGGAAATTTGAAATTTACAATTTTAGTATTTTTATCCGTAGCTAATACCCATACAAAAACACGTTAATATACTAAATTATTTGTTTTTAAGCTATTTAAAATGTTCTAGAGAAAAATTGGGAAACTTTGTGTTTTGAGGGTTAAGTAAATAAAAAAAACCCAATTTTTACCCCATAAACCTCGTTCCCATTGTTCAGGACAAAAATGCTTGTACCGACAATGCTGCTCTGATGTCTTAGTGCTGTCCTGGTCGTCATAACCACGAAAGATAACCGTACTTGTATTGATTGAAAATAAGTTTGAGGAACTTAAGATACAAGTTGCAAACGTCAGTATGTATGAAAGGTGTTTTTGCACCACATTGTTCGTGCTTTAAGATTGGTGTTCCCTGTTCTGCAATATGCAAGGTTTTAGGTTTGTATTGGGGAATCCTGTTTGAACACCAACTTGGACAAAATCAGTAAAGATGAACAAGTTGCTAAGAATAATAAAATTGTTAATGAGTCGTCTGAGAATAATTATTGTGATGATGAAATTGTAAAGAGAGATACTACGGAAATTGTAGAAAAATAGCTTTAGTTTAAGTAGTTCATTTTAAGGTAATGTAAGGTTTTGTACAAATACAATTGTTTGATTTTTAATAAATGTAAAAAAAAAAAAAACTTAAATAGCTACGTAAGAAAAATACATATCAATTTGAAATTGTTCTTAATAGATTTGCATAAAAACACGTTGAAAGACCATTCACACCACCTTAAAAGTTGAAATTTTTGCTTAGTAGCCTATGTTATTATGTTATAGTGTAAAACTTAATCCATCCCCTTTTAGCGAACATCCCATACAGGAGATAAGCTATTACCGAAGGTCTTATGGCAAAACATAGACCCGAAACCGATTTACGTTTTCATTTCGATGCCCCCAGAAGCCTAAAGCACCATCCACTCAAAATATTATATATGTGTTTATATACATATATATAATATTGTATATACATATATATATAATATTATATATTCATGTTATATACGTGTCCGTAAACATGATAACTCGAGTAATTTTGGTTCAATTTTAACGAAACCGGCATAATCGGTCCATGGAACAGGGTTTTATGTGGTAAATATTTGTAATCTTTCACCCTCAAAAGGCAAAGTTTCCCAATTTTTCTCTAGAGCATTTTAAAGAGCTTAAAGACAACAAATAATTTAGTATATTAACAAGTTTTGTAAGTGTATTAATTACGAATGAAATTCAAAAATTGTAAATTTAAAACTCCATGTTATTTTTAGTGTAAAATTATTTTGTTTGTTTGTTTATAGATATGTCTTAATAAAACTTATCAAATTTATTTGTTTTATGCTAGGCTATTAATATTTTATAATAAACACAATTTATTAGCCTCCTTGTAGCAGCAAACCTAAGTATTCATTAAACTCAATGCTATTTTAGATTTAATTGAAAATCGGGCAAATGAAAATTCGCTTAGTCTGCAGGTTTGCTGTGACGGGGGTATTTAATATTTTCTCTTACTACTTGTGATTCTTCCCTCTTATATAGTAAAGAATTACAGTTATTTTCAATAATCCCCTTTTATATAGAGCATGGAGATAACTAATTTTATCACTTTACGAATAAATGTTTAAAAATCTTAAAAAGTAATAATATTTCAAAACACCCTGTATGGAGTGGTTTAATACACTTAAAACTAGTCCCAATTGATTTAAAATAACTAAAACCATCGAAAACCACACCTCACTTGACCTTAAACGTAAAAACAAAATTATTCAAGAACAAGGGCCCTTCGGAACAAAAAGGGCCCCAAAAAGGGCCTTAGGACGCTCAAAATTTTGGGGACTCATCGGATCTTCATTTCTCATATTATTAGTAACTCACGGGTGAAATTTCATGAATGTACAAATTTTGTTGTTTATATGGAGTGTTTTTGTATTATTTTACCTGTACTATAAAGGTTATGGTCCCAAGACATTTTTTATACAAACAAACATTTCAAAATAAAGATAAACAATCTGATTGCTGATATAAAGGTGTTTGATAATAATGTCAACTGCTATTTATTTAGTATTCTATAAAGTAAACAATAAATTAATGATATATTTATAGTTAGTAGGTAAGGCTATACATTCAATCTAATACATAAATGAAAAGAAACTCAAATAAACCATACATTTCCCACTTGCCTCTGTCTTAATCTGATATAGATGCTTGAAATGGATTTAACATCCACACACAAAACTAAAAAGTAGAAACTAGTTTATAAATAAAAAAACTTAAAAAAAAAACACACTAAAAAGTAGAAAATAAATTAATATAAATATGTGGAGAGTATAAATACTTGTAAGATTTAAAACAAAAAACGTGGGGTGCATGCAATTGATAATAATACATTAGTTCAATAGGTGAAGGTATTGTATAAATTATCTATTGCATACACCTCACGTTTTTCGTTTTAAATCTTACAAGTATTTATACTGTCCACATATTTATATTAATTTATTTTCTACTTTTTAGTGCGTTTAAAAACGTTTTGTTTTAAAAAAGATTTTTGTTTATAAATTATTTTATGTTATTTTGTACTTACGTTAAAACCAAGTAGATGAATAGAATTAGAAGCATAGTTTCCAAAATAAGTATAGTAAATATAAAAGGACTGAGGAGTGAATCAGCCGAATTTGTCATCACTGAGAGCCATACGTATTCTTTACGCATGACATGCCAAAACTGAGAAGAACTCTGCAAAATTTTATTTTAATAATAAAAAATTACTAAAAGGTTTCAGAAACTAATACTAACAAAACAGGATATAATGATACCATCTATATATTAATTATGTAAGTGGTGAGTGCAGTACCAGGATTTCAATACCAACAGGACAGGAGCCTATAAGCGCCCACGTTTTGACGATGACGCCAAACGATACACGCGGCATCAGATGAATAGCGCGCGCAGCGGTTGTTACTGTACTTTCATTATTTTATTTATTTATTTTTCCTAGTACATTAGCTGTATAAGTGACAAAACTCGAAACCAACATTAGAAAAGAGGTCACGGGATTCACAGGAACATCCCGCGAGTAACTGTTTTGATCACGGCAACATAGTTTTTTATTTCCCGCGATTGCCATTTTCTTCCTTTCAGTTATGAACATAGCTCATAAAATATTCATGTGCTCTATGGTAATAAATGCACAAGACACTTGGCCATAGGCTATTGGAGGTGATTCTCCCAAAATATAAAGTATATTTAAAAAAATATATAGTAAATTTCTTGGTCCAAATCAAAGTTCACATAGTCTAATGACAAATAAACTAGCTTTTGATCTTTGTATGTAGGTAGGCAAGATAACATTTCATTTTTTCATATTTACAAGTATTTTTTACTAGTTTGTTTGTCTCCTGCAATTGTAGCAACATCAATTAAATTCAAACATCTTTATTCATTATTTTGTACAATATCCTATATTCTAATACGAGCAATGTTTGCTTGTATGTATGTATATGTATGTATGCTTGCTTGCTTGCTTGCTTGCACCAAGATCTCGAAAACGGCTCCGACGATTTTCTTCAAATGTTGTAAATAGTTTATTTCTGGCCTAAAAACGAGTTTACTGCAGTTACAACTGCCAACAAAAATCTAATTACGTAGAAAAATGAAACTGAAAATCACATTTTTTTAACATTAGTCTTATGGGTTGCTAGGTAACCATGTTGGTTGAATTTAATAACAAGGAAAAAGTAAACAAAAGACTTGAAGTTGTAGCATGTGTTCATAATAAGCCAACTACCCACAGTATACTAGCAAATTACAAATACAGTACAAAAGGAAAAACATCATTTAGCAAAGATTATACTGAAGATTACTCGATACATTATAGTCAAGGGTAGCAGTGAAAAGTCTGGGATGTTTATGACGATTAGATTAAGGTATCTGCAATCCTAAAACGCTATGGGAAGGGAAGGAAACAGGTCCACGACGTAGGAAGTGGTGAAGGAAGTAGTAAAGGCAATCATAAAATGCTATGGGAATAGAGGGAAACAGGTCCGTGACGTAGGAAGTGATCAAGGAAGTAGTAAAGGCGAGCAGTCCGGAGTGTGGGGACTGTTTATTACGATAAGATTAGGGTGTCTGCAATCCTAAAAGGCTATGGAAAGGGAGGGAAACAGGTCCGCGACGTAGGAAGTGGTGAAAGAAGTAGTCAAGGCGAGTAGTCCGGAGTGTGGGAACTGTTTATGATGATTAGATTAAGGTATCTGCAATCCTAAAATGCTATGGGAAGGAAGGAAAACAGGTCCGCGACGTAGGAAGTGGTGAAGGAAGTAGTCAAGGCGAGCTGTCCGGAGTGTGGTAACTGTTTATGACGATTAGATAAGGGTATGGAAACAGTTCCGCGACGTAGGAAGTGGTGAAGGAAGTAGTAAAGGTTAGCGGTCCGGAGTGTTGGAACTGTTTATGACATTAAGTTTAACCCATTGGGGAAGGAATTAATGTGCTACCTGCAGCACCCTCTGGTGGCAATTAATTTTACCGAATTTGTAGACTTTTACTCTAACTGCTATAGAAAGAAAACCTTAGGTAGGTAATAAATTAATAATTCTTTGACCATTTTGTTCACAGTAAAATTGTCTACAGAAAAGTGGTAATTGGATAGTCAAAGTTATAAACTAAAAAAATATATATGTATAAAGATTATAAAAATAAAAATTTTAAAAACAATATTTTGAAAGTAAACTTGATATACAAATTTCAAGATTAATCCAGACACCAAATAACACTACTATTATAAAGTTCAATCGATTCCCTACGTAGAAAAATCAAAAGTTGTGTACTTTTATAAGTAATAACATTTTTTTTAAATTGTTTGTTTACCTTACCGCAGCTGATTTTTGGTGATATGTGGTTTCTATGGCAACACAAAATTGTTTGTTATTCGCTAAAATAAATGAGTAAAAACGCAAATCAAGAAGCAAGATATTTATAAACATTATATTAGTAAGAAGAAACAAAAAGGGCGAAAAATAATAATAACTAAATAACTAATGGCGCTGCCTAGCGGTGACACGAGCGGCACTTGTAAGTCGGCCGCCGGGCCTGCAGCGGCCGCACGAGTAACGCTCGTAAGTCGGCGCCAATGGGTTAAGGTATCTACAATCCTAAAATGCTATGGGAAGGGAGGGAAACAGGTCTGCGACGTACTAAGTGGTGAAGGAAGTAGTAAAGGCGAGCAGTCTGTAGTGAGGGAATTGTTAATGACGATTAAATTAAGGTATCTACAATCTTAAAATGCTATGTGAAGGGAGGAAAACAGGTCCGAGACGTAGGAAGTGGTGAAGGAAGTAGTCAAGGCGAGCAGTCCGGCGTGTGGGAACTGTTTATGAGGATTATATTAAGGTATCTGCAATCTTAAAATGCAATGGGAAGGGTGGGAAACAGGTCCGCGACGTAGGAAGAGGTGAAGGAAGTAGTAAAGGCAAGTAGTGTGAAGTTGGGAACTGGAAACCAATTAACTGTAACAGTTAGATTTATGTATCTGGAATTGAAATACTGAAATGCTATGAGAAGGGATGGAAACATGTCCAATACATAGGAAATGGTGAAAGAAGTAGTAAATGCTAGCAGTGCGGAGTGTGGGATATGTTTGTGGCAATTAGATTAATGTATTTAAAATAGTAAAATGCAATGGAAAGAGATGAAAACAGGAACACGACGTAGGAAGTAGTGAAGTTTAGCATCGCAGAGTGTGGGAACCGTTTGTGGCAGTTAGATTAATGTATCTATAATACTTAAATGCTATGAGAAGGGAAGGAGACAGAGCCATGACGTAGGAAACGGTGAAGGAAGTAGTAAAGGCTGGCATCGCAGAGTGGGGTAATGACGAGCAAAGCTCGGTCCCCAGGTACTATACATTGAATAGTGTCAGGTTGTACAACAACTCAAACTAGCCTAAGTGACAATCTCATCCACTCTATGCAGGAGACTGTAAAGTTACAAAGTCGTTAATGTATTCATTATGACTGTGATGGGTGGAAAAATCGTCAAAAGAATACGGAGCTATTTTAATCAGATATTCTTTTAATCTTTTTTTAAATTTGTTTTTATTACTTTCTTTTTTTAATTTCTTTTGGAATTGTATTTAAATATAAATATCTTTGACTGATGTAGGAAGGTTTCTTTTCAAAAAAATTTGTTTGATGTTTCGATGTTATGGAGTCTTTATGTCGAGTATTGTATTTATGAAGGGTTGAAATATAATCTGAAGGACGAGAATCAGCTTTCCTAACTGCCATTATAATGCAGTCAAAAATATACTGTGCGTAGACTGTCAAAATATTTAGTTCAATGAAGTGTTTTTTCACAGAGGCATCACGCTGTAGTTTTAGCATTATTCTAATTGCATATTCTTGTTTTTTTTAAATATATTTTCAAGAATAATTTTTGAAGTTGCTCAAAAAACAAATCCTAAAAGCAATATGGGATTGTATGTATGCAAAATAGATTTTACGCTTAGTTTCAATATTACAATAAAAGGACATTTTCCTCAAAGCAAATAGTCCAGAACTAATTTTTGGTAAAATTTTGTCCATATGGTTATTCCAATCTAAATTCTGATCAATAGTTAAGCCAAGAAACTGAACATTTGGTTTTGATATAATTTGCTGAGAATTAAAATCTATCACTGGTTTTCTCTTTTCTGTTTTGTTTTGTTTTAAAATTATTACAATTAGTTTTCCTACATTCAAAAATAAATTGTGATCCTTGAGAAATTTATTGATGTTTTCTAATTCTAGTTTACAATTTACTTCAGTTTCTTCCAAAGTCTCTGATGATAAAGTCTCTGATGATAATTTCAAGTTTGAACCATCGGCATATAAAATTAATTTTGAATTAGGTTTGAATAATAAGGCATTTCCATGTTTTTCATATAACATAAAAATAACAGAGGACCTAATATTGAACCTTGTGGTGCGCCAAATTTAACAGGGCAAGTTTCTGAAGATATACTAATAAGTTTATATTTGAGTTTGATAGAAACGTTACTTCGACATACTGACTGCGGTCACAAAGATATGACTGAAACAAATTTAGAGAATTATTCGACATTCCTAAAGATTGTAATTTTATTAATGAAATTGAGTGCTTTACACTGTCAAAGGCTTTAGAAAAGTCCAAAAAAATGCCAGTTGTAAATTTTCCTTGTTGAACAGACTCAATTACGGATTCCACAAATTAGACAGCGGCACTAACAACTGATCCACCAGATCTAAAGCCGTGTTGAATATCATCCAATAAATTGTGTTTTTCTAAATAATTACTTAACTGTAATCCATCCATGACCATATTCTGTCATCCATGATAATGATAACTGTCATCCGTGACCATATTCTGCGGTCTCAACGTAACCGCTGGTCGTCTCTCACTATCGCGCCAACACCGGTAATCGGCTTTTTCGGCCAAGTTTTGAATGAACCAGGCTTCAGATAATCGATGCTTGACTGTAGGTAGTGAGGTTACTGATTCCGAGATCTGATTTTGATAATGATCTTAAAATGGGATGGCACAAAGCTTAACCCTTCCCGGACGAGCGAAATCGTGACATAAAGCGGGGAAAAATTATAGGAAAAAATAAAAATTAATTTTCCTTATTTGTGTTTTGTTACACAAATAAAATTATAAGTGTATTACAAGTAGGCCTATACATAAAATAAACACAATGGAACACTTTATACTGTAAAAAT